TTTGCTTGGGGGTAAAATTCACATGAAAATGTTAAAGTATACGATTCAGTGGCATCTGTCCTTTTTTTTTGGTGGCTGCAGGGTATGCCATTGTGTGGCTGTCCAGTACCATTACCGGAGTTCCGTGCTGGGAGCCACTTGCAGGCTACATCCCCTCAGCTCCTGCTGCCCGAGGCGGCGGTGCCACTGCCCTTGCCAGCAGGACAGGAGGGGATGGACTCGCTCCCCCTCTGTTGAGCCACTCCAAAGTGGTTCCTTGTTACAGTCTACCAGAGTGGCACATTTATTACAATCGAAGAACCTGCATGCACAGAGCTTGTCACGCAGAGTCCACAGCTGACGCCGGGGCTCACTCTTGATATTGTACATACTGTGGGTTTGGACAACTGTATCATGACATGGATCCCCCCCTGGAGTATTATACAGAGGAATTTCACTGCCCTACAGATCCTCTGAGCTCCAGCTAGTCATCCCACCCCTGAGCTTTTTACTGTCTCCATAGTTTTGCCTTTTCCAGAATGTCATATACTTGGAACCATGCAATCTGCAGCCTTTTCAGACTGGCTTCTTTGGCTTAGTAATCTGCTTTTAAGGTTCCTCCATGTCTTTTCTTGGCTTGATAGCTCATTTCTTTTTAGCGCTGAATAAGCGTAACTTTTTTAAGGGAGATGTGTGGGCTGCAGTGATGACTTTGGCTTTCTCTCCAAAAATGACGGCAGCCGCACTGTGATCCCTGCCCAACTGCTGCACAGAGAAGAGGGTGAATGTGGCGAGGGGGGGTGGAAGGTGGGCGGTGAGCCAGGGGGTTATGGCGATAACCTAGGCAGGAGATCAAGGTTGTGGTAGGGAGCAGTGGTTCTCAAACGGGGGCAATCATGTCCTCCACAGGATATTTAGACAAATGTCTGGAGACATTTTTAGTTGTCGCAGCTGGGAGAGAGGGACTATTGGCATCTACTGGGTAGAGGCCAGGGATGCTGCTCAACATCCTGCAATGCACAGGACGGGCCTCCCAATCCAGAATGATCTGGCCCCAGATACCAACTGTGCCCAGGTGGAGAAACCCTGGCGTAAAGGGGACAGGTCTCTCCTGGGTATATTTTGAAGGCAGAGCTGACAGGCCTTGCTTACAGATTGAATGAGAGAAGTCTTCGTGTTTTCCAGTCCCTGCATGCCTGTTCTCTTTTCTTTCTTTAATTAAATAACATTTGGCCAGGCGCGGTGACTCACGCCTATCATCTCAGCATTTTGGGCGGCCGAGACAGGTGGATCACTTGAGGCCAGGAGCTGAAGACCAGCCTGGCCAACATAGTGACACTCCGTCTCTACTAAAAATACCAAAAAATTAGCCAGGCGTGGTGGGGCATGCCTGTAATCCCAGCTACTCGGTAGGTTGAGGCATAAAAATTGCTTGAACCGGCCGGGCTCGGTGGCACAAGCCTGTAATCCCAGCACTTTGGGAGGCCGAGGCGGGTGGATCACGAGGTCAGGAGATCAAGACCATCCTGGCCTAACAGGTGAAACCCCGTCTCTACTAAAAAATACAAAAAAACTAGCCAGGTGTGGTGGCGGGCGCCTGTAAGTCCCAGCTACTCGGAGGCTGAAGGCCGGCGAGAATGGTTGAACCCGGGGAGGCGGAGCTTGCAGTGAGTGGAGATCGTGCCACTGCAACTCCAGCCTGGGCGACACAGCGAGAGTCCGTCTCAAAAAAAAAAAAAAAAAAAAAATTGCTTGAACCCAAGAGACATATGTCGCAGTGAGCCAACTGCGACTGCACTCCAGCCTGGGTGACAGAGTGAGACTCTGTCTCAAAAAAATACATAAATAAAATAAAATAAAATAAATATTTAACCCAATCTGTCCAAACTATTATAATTTCAATGTGTGATTAACATGGAATATTAATGAGACACTTTATATTTTTTGCCATGCTAAGTCTTCAAAACCTAGTGTGTGCATTTTACAAATAAAGCACATCACAACTCAGATGTGAGTTTTCAGTGGTGGTGTGGAGTGTACCAGAGCAACAACGTTGTGTATGTTTTTCTTTTTGGTTTTCTCTTTTTGTGTGTGTGAGATGGAGTTTCGCTCTTTTTGCTCAGGCTGGAGTGTAATGGTGTGATCTCAGCTCACTGCAACCTCCACCTCCCAGGTTCAAATGATTCTCCTGCCTCAGCCTCCCTAGTAGCTGGGATTAGAGGCGCCTGCCACCATGCCTGGCTAATTTTTTATTTTTAGTAGAGATGGGGTTTCACCGTGTTGGCTAGGCTGGTCTTGAACTCCTGACCTCAAGTGATCTGCCCACCGTGGCCTCCCAAAGTGCTGGGATTACAGGCGTGAGCCACCGCGCCTGGTCAACGTTGTGTTTACTGGAGAATATTTTACACTGTTTCAGTTTTTCATTTTAAGTTTAAATGAATTGAACTTAAATGAAATGAACAACTATTTTCCTTAGTTGCACTGGCCACATATCAGGTGTTTAGTGGCCACAAGCTACTAGTGGCTTCTGTCCTTCTTGGGCGGCCAAGACCTAGAGCTTACCAAGGAGCGAGCACCTTACTGGAGGTGCCCCCCAAAGGTCAGTTCTCATCCTGCTGGGAGGCCTTCCAGAGTTCTCATTGCCCTCTGGATAAAGGTCATGCATGCTGTGTAGCCTGGCTCTTTTGGGCCTCAGTTTCCTCATCTGTAAAATAGAATTCTGAAAGCCCACCCTCCAGGATAATTGTGAGGATTAAAAAGACGGCCGGG